GTCCAGGTCACACCCTTCTGCATCTAATCAAAACAATCATTCAAACACAATAGATCTTAACGACATCAATGACTCCCGGGGGTATGGAGGAGGGGTAATCGTAGGTAGTGTTGGCTCGTTAAGCAGCAACAGACCGCTAAAGCTTATAAGTGCATCCCTCCCATACTCCAGAGAGAACTGACAACGCTCCTCAGATGAGAAGCAAAATGTCTTCAAGAAACCAAAGAAGTTCAGTTGCTTTCGTTTGAACCTTGACCTGGATGACTGAGAGCCTTCACCAGCATTGTTTAGCCCCCTTCAGACAGGACATGAAAAACGGAAATGTTCCGGACTCTGTCCGTAAGACCTTTGTGTCTGAATACAAACATCCGGATAACGTTTTCCGTAATTTAACCGGACGACGCCCCAGTAACAGGTCCGGACTTGTTACGGACAAGGTGGCTGCTTCAGACTGGTGAGGTCGAGTTCCGGACAGGGAGGAGGGGACCGGGGGACGCCGTGCGCACCTAGATAGCCCGCTCCTGTAGCATGCGGCGAACCACGGCAGCTCGCCTCCTACGGTACCGCCTAGACGCGTGACGGAGCGCTTCACACCGCTTCAGTGATTCCTTTAACCACTGAGCTTCATAATCATCCAGGTCTCTTATGCATCTTCGTGTGCGCAGAATTATGCTTAACATAAGTCCGACCCCCCCCAGACATCTGGAACTTTTCCCTGCTGTGTGAACGCAGCCGAAAGGACAAGTTCCGGTACAAAAGTGGTGTGTCTGAAAACACAGTTCCGGTTAAAAACCGGATTAAATTGTCCACACATATTCCAGAATGTCTATCTGAAAAGGGCTTTTGAAAAGTTCTGGTGGTGAACGGCACGGGCCAGATCCTGGGGAGCGGGTGTTTGCGTTGGTCAAAAGGGTTTCGTTTAGAAGTCAACGACCGCTTCTCCCGAAATGACGGCAAATGAATAAGAGCAGAAAAAGGAGAAATCTCGGGGTCTGTTACCATCCCGGCTTTAATCAGGGGCACAAAGCTGCTCCTTTCTTCTTCTGTGTGGACTTAATTGCGTGCATTGTTCAAATGTTGGCAGGCAGCGCTTGTATTTCCGTTGGCTAGAACATAACGAAATGCTTTTTGTTGAAGATCTCTACGTCTGAGCTTGGTCAGAGGAGGTTGGGTCGGAGACAAACAGGGAAAATGTTGTTTTACGAAGAACTCCGATGAGCGAATCACTCATTTTATGGCTTTGTTCTGTCAGTCAAGTGTAGCGTTGATCAGGCTCGCTGCATCGGACCCAGGTTTTAATTTAAACAACCCGAATGTGGACTGGAAGAATTTCATTTGAGCCTTACGGTGTTATGAGTACGCGATCAAAGAGGACTTCATGAGCTTGAACGACGTGAGCGTTTCCAGCTTTGCTCAGTTTAGTTTCCATTTCTCAAAATGTGAATTAACATCATATAATAAGAATTTTCTGTGTGTTTAAATGAAAACACTTAAAAAAAGAACTTAGTAAAAGCATTGAATTTCATTGGTTATTACCAGAAATGAGGATTTGAGATGAGACTTGAACTCAGGTCTGACTTGAGTCACCAAAACAAAAAACCTGACCAGAAATAATCTTAAGGTGTGTGGCTCAATTTCTTATAACATTTTCTGAGTTGTGTAATCAGAAGTGAAACTAAAAACCTGGTACCTTGGACTTGTCGCTCCCACACTTGAGAATTGACCTGGACTTGAGACTTGTCTTGGACTTGATGTATGTGACTTGAGTTCTCTGTTGTGTAATCAGAAAGGTAGAATCCAGCTTGGTGACTTGGCCCTGTCCATCAGTGGCATGCAACTCGAACAGCACTTGAAACAATGACTTGTGAACATCTCTGGGGCGATATGGCTATGTGTCCTAGGCTGCGCAGTGGTGCAGTGGTTAAAGCTGTTGCCTTGCAGCAAGAAGGTCCTGGGTTCGCTTCCCGGCCTGGAATCTCTCTGCATGTTCTCCCTGTGCATGCGTGGGTTCTCTACGGGTTCTCCGCCTTCCTCCCACAGTCCAAAAACACGACTGTTAGGTTAATTGATCTGTCTAAATTGTCCTTAGGTGTGTGTGTGTGTGTGTGTGTGTGTGTGTGTGTGTGTGTGTGTGTGTGTGTGTGCTGTGTCTCTGTGTTGCCCTGTGATGGACTGGCTCTCTGTCCAGGGTGTACCCCGCCTGATTTCCCATTGACCGTTGGAGACAGCCACCCTAATCTCGTCGGACGTTGTTATTACACTCAGATGTTGTCAAAGCTCCAGTTTTAGGTAAACATATAAATACATTCATTAAGTAATCTTACTCTTTGATTCCGTTATAATGGATCACAATCATAGTCACCACACCAAAACGGTGGCATTGACTTTGAAGCGATGAAAAGGTCAAGGTACAATTTTTGCCACCAGATGGCGCCATTTCCAACAGACTGAGCCTTTAAAGCAACATTAAAGAGTTTTCAACACTTTCAACCTCTTAGCCAATAGCGATGGCAGATTTAAATTCAAATGCAGTGCAGAGTTTTTACCTGACAACGGCACAACACTGACAGCTTTAGGCAGAATATTTAAATTTGAACTAAAATGCACTAAAGTACAAAACTATTGACTACACGTGTCTGCAGCACGATCACCCCGGGTTTCCACGGGAGCCGTCAGCAGCACGTTACTGCAGCAGCACGTCTTGCTCGCGTGAGCTGCTGCTTGGCCCTTCCCACGAGACGCGAAGCAGCAGGGGAGCAGCTGTCACCGACAGAGCACGAAGTCACACGAGTTACTTTGTCAGTAAACACAACAACAAGCAGGAGAAAACTACAACATGGTTTGTGTTTTATGTTCTGTCCGTTTTATAATCACCAATACGGACCTGAAAAACAAAGGAGACCGCTAGCTAGGTGATAACTTCTCACGGGGACGCACAGTTAGTAACCTTTTTTAAAAGTAAAGCAACCGGAAGGCAGTACGTTCTTTATTCTGAAAATCTCGGGAGCTTCGCTCCGTTTCCGCGTCCGATTTCCTGTCTTTCCTTCCCCAAAAATGTCGAACTTGACCCGTTTCAGAGGCGTCGCGCGTAGGAAATAGAACCGGCGCGTAAAGGCCGCGACATGCTGCTCCTGAGACGCGGCCGACTCGCGCTGCTGACGGCTCCGGTGGAAAAGGTTCTGTTGACCACAGCGGTTCCTATCAGCAGCTATGACGTGCTGCTGCAGTAACGTGCTGCTGACGGCTCCCGTGGAAAGCCGGGGTTAGACACACATTTATATAGTTTATCAGAAAAAAAAGTAGATTTGGGGGTGACTTGCTCTTTAAGCTATTGCTTTCAAACTGGTTTTAGTGGTTTTTCAGCAGTAAACTTGAGCAGCGTCACATTGGACAGCACCGACTAGAAATTATTTTGTAGGTGCATAAGTTGAAGGTCTCTACCAGCTCCATGGCTGTTGACTGTGACAATGGCTAATATAAAGGCTAACAGTTAGGTCTTTCAGTTTTCCGACTGTCAATGAAAAGCTCAGGAAGAAGAAATTTGCTTTATTTGTTGGTATCATGAAGGCGCCTGGAAAGAAAATTAAAAGAGTAATGTCTCTGGAGGTGACGCAAAGAGCTAACACCAGAGTAAACATCGGCTCGGGCTACACTCGTATGAGGGAGCTGAAGGAGGCTACGAAGTCACGGACTGATGGTGACCTGGCTTTGTTGCTAATAATATTTTTGTCCAAAAGTGTGGATCTTTTTACTCCGTGGCTTATTTAGTGTCCGTTAGCGCTAACGTTAACGCTAGCTCATCGTCAGCGGTTGTTTACGACAGTTGTAATTCTGCTTTCAACCAGTAGGAGGAGAAGCTGAAATTAATTAGCGCTACTTTGTTTTTCGCAGATTTCATCATCATAAGTCTGGTTCTTAATTAAAATCTAAAACTTCTTCAAAGTTACGTATTCTGGGCCAAACGTGACTTCTCACATACTTGTTTGTTTAGCTAGTATTAATGTCTTTGTTAACGTTGATCAATTACCTGAACTGAATTCTGAGTTCCTGCATCAGGTAATCACGTTGAATAAAAGAGGACAGCGTGAGCTCATTTATTCAGCCCGACAGAAATTTGCCCAATCACCAGTTTATTCAAAGGTTGCCTTCCCATCAGCCTCCTTGATCAGACTAATCATCCTTCTGGTGGCTGTCTTTATCTCCCCTAACACCTTTCCACACTCGATCGTGTTGGAGCACGCAGTCTGCCGTTTGACATTATTAGATCCCCGTCAGGGGCACTTCCTCTTACGCCGAGAAGCCATCCGAAGCAGAGGTGAGGAAGATGGGAAGCGACGGCTCCTGCCTGCTCGTTGCAGGGGGAAATGAAGGCGAGGGTGGTGATGGACTAATCTCTTGCTCTGATTATCTTCTCATTACAATCCGACAGCAGCCACTTGATGAAGAGGAGGAGAACGTGTAATTAGACTCTCACGACTAAAACAGAGAATATTTATCAGGACTTTAACTGTGTGCCCACAAGAAAACTTTAAATTGATCAAATCATCGGTGGAGGTAAAACTTTGACCCATTTCAAAGGGAAATTTTTACTTTTGCAGAATGATCTGAAACCAAAACGTGTGAAAGTGTTTCTGAGTGTGCTTTTTTATTTGTTGTGGATGAAAAGTGGGGTAAACATGGGAAAGGGGGGGGAGTGTTAAACTATTGCATCTTCTCAGCATGCAATGGAAAACATGAACTCAAATGTCAAGGCAGCTGAAGCACGTAAATAACTACATTTCAATGGATACGTCAGTTGGAATTGTAAATCACGGACCTGGGTTTTTCCCGGAGACTAGCTGGCAGGAGGAAATGGTGGGGAGTGAAACGCATAACCAGCAGACCAGAGGGAGGAAGGCTAACAGAGCATGTCGGGCGATGGAAGCGTTAACTGTGTCTACAGCCAGAATAAAACACAAAAATCAAATGCTGAAAGCTTTTTTTGTTGTTTCTTTTTACAGCTCAGAAACGACGACAGCCTGCCAGCCACTCCAGATAGATCATGAGAAAGCGTCTGACACACAGGCGGACAGCGCCGACAGAAATGGCTGCATCAAAGGAAATGGACGTAAACGCCACCGCCACCGCAGGGCCAGAATGTGAGTTAGTCTCGACGCTCCCGCCAAAGCCTAAACAAACACTTCAGAACCATCGAGAGGGTTTCCTCGACTCTGAAAACAGGTGCTTGGGCAAAGATGAGAGAGCCGAGGAATCAACAGGTGCTAAATGTGTGGGAGTTTTGATCAGTGTGACACGTTTAAGATGACAAATGGTTGTTTTAGGAAGGAGGTGCTTTCGTAGATCACAGAGCCGACGATGAGGCTCTTCAGCAGCTCAACACAATTCCGTCTGGGCTTGAATCTGACAGGGAAACCCAGCTAATCTCTCTATTCTGGTGCACAAAATGTAAAAACCAAAGCCTCATCACTTCAACGCGCGATGGAGAAACGCTGAGACCCTGAGAGGAAATGTACACAGTGTCACGCAGATCCTGACCTGCTCCAGCACCTAGAGCCAGAAGCTGCCTTCACGTGCCAAGAACTGAAGGGCACTATTTAGAATTAGGAACGTCCTAATTAATGTAAAAGCTTTGAGTGTTTGCAGATGCATGGGGGTGATCTACAAATGCTTCAGGGTTAGGGTTTTTATTTACGGCACCAGCCATTAAAGGAACTATTCAACAGGAGGAGTGTGTCGGGCTCATCCGGACGGGTCAAGCGAATTCATCCAGCAGCTGTTTGGGAGGGGTTATGGATGTGTATGGTTATTCGTGTGCAAAAAGATTTTTATCTAATAAACGAATTCAAGGCAAATGATTTATGGTAATAAAATCAAATAAGTCATAAAATGCCTTTTAAAGGTTTCATTCACTCGTTGCTGCTGTCTCCATGAAAGCGTTTTCAGATGTTTTCTGTGGAGACGAAAACAAACGTTGATGTTTCAGGGGTTAGACGTTTTACAGAGAAGTGGGAGGTGGAAACCAACAGGAGTAAGAGTTTCACTCATTATTATTCATGATATGCAAACAGGAGGCCTCTGATTGGCTAACAGCAACATGAGTCCAAGGAGGAAGTAAATAGCCCAAAAGGACCATTTTCCTGAGTACCAGAACTGAGGATTTTACTCTGAAAGAGTCACCGGGTGGGACTTGTGGTTAACTCATCCCGACTGGTTGTAACTCAGGAGGAAATTGCATCAGCAGTAGCTAAAAAACCAGCATTTCCAAAATTGAAAGACAGAATTTAATCAGAATTAACGCAGTTTTAAAATCACAACGTTTTTGCTCCCAGCACCAAAAACATGGCGGGAATCCCCTCACAGTGTCGTAAATTTGGCAGCTTTACGGTCTCCTACAAAGCGCCGTAAAAACAATGCTTCGTTACAGAATAAAACTAGGGGTGTTTCTCAATGGCAAGGCGCCTTGCTTACGAGGACACGGTCCTTCCTTGGTCAAAGAAAACGGTTAAATGGAACAGACTTGCGTCACGTGACCGCAGCTTCCATGGCGGTCACGTAACGTCACGTGACACGGGAGATAACGTTATATTTTATACGTATTAGTTTCAATATAAATATATAACGAGACTTTTACTTTTCAAATTGTGTACATGTTTATTAAATTTAGTATATAAGCGAGTTACTACCCGCTAGCCACCGAAGCTGCAACTACTAAGCTACTAACCAACCATAGATAACTTCTTTGGATCTAAAAAAACATTTTAAATTAGCTGATTTACTTTTAAACTTGAAAATTGTCCCCGAAGTAGCTGCCGGCTTCTGATCCGCCGTCCTTTTTAAAATACCGCGGTGTATTGTGGGTAATTTTTGACCAAGGCTAGGCTACAAGACACCTCCCGTGTGTCCTCGCTCAGCTAGCTAAACGGCTAACAAACAGAGAACACACGCCTCGGTAGAACATGAACACTGGAACATGTCTTGGCAGCTCACGATGACGTATCTCCTAGGCAACCGGGGCGGGGCTAAGACATCAAGGCGAGGTTCCTTGGTATTGAGAAACACCATAGGGATGTTATTTATGTCTGTGGACGCCTTTTCAGTGACATCACTGACCTGAAACAGTCGTAAAATGCTGACGTCTTCACACAACGTCCTGAAAAGGGCCGGCGTGTTTCCCCTGTCACCTTCAGCCCTCCCAGAACATTTCCGGAACTGCTTTAGTTGAAACACGGCTAGAAGAAGAACCGCTTCCTGATCGTCTGAACATTTCAGAATGGCTTTATTTGCATGTAAACTTACATTTTTCCCCTTAAAAAGCTAAATGTTTGTGGCGATGGCCATGAAGCTAATTGTTCTAATTGTGAGTTTTATGGTTGTGTTCGCCACCTTGGTCTGCTGATGAGGTCATAGAAGGGGCTTTATAAATAAACAAATGAATGGATGAAGCTGGAACTTGTAATAAACCGTCAGAAGGGTTTAGCTTCTACTTGCCAAGACACACACGACACAGCCAAAGTGGGTGGGGCCATGAGTTTTCCCACTTATTTCCTCATGCAGCTGATGCTGGCGAAACTTTCGTGTTTCATAAAGAGCACGCAGTTTCCCAGTGAATGAGACCTTTAATAGATTTATCACAAAAGCATCACATAACACAAACTGCTGTTTTCATTGGTCGTTCCGGTCTTCCCGAGCAGCGGCTTTGTAGTTTGCACCAGCAGGCGTGGACTCCTCGTACAGCTCCTCCGTTTTATGCTGTGAGGAACTTTTCTGCAGGACTCCACCTCATCAGGCGGGTGTGTTTTCATGTCTGCTTTCCGCCCTTGGACAACGCGTTCAGACCAAAAGCAAAGAGGAAAAGGGGATTTGTGTGGGCGAGGTGCTCCAAGCATCAGTGAGAAAATGAAAACAAATCCTATTTAAGTGCCATAGCATGAATTTTAAAGGTTATCAGCAGCCAACACTTTAGAACTGTGTGTAAGAGTGTGGGCCGTGCTTGTACTGAGATTTTACAGCTGTTAGAAATCATAAACTAATCTAGGCTCACGATTTCAAAAGCCCATGATTCTTGACATGTTTTTGATTTTCTCAGCATCTTTGCTTTTGCCTGTGTGAGTTTCTACATCTGTAGCTCATTTTAAAGCAGCTGAGGTCTTATTAAAGACAGGAAGTAGGTCACATCACTCTGTGTGTTGGACTTTCACTCATCGGGTTTCTCCCTGTGTGAGAAAATCGAAATCAAAAGTGTGTCTTTGTAGTGAAACGGTTCAGGGCCAACAGGCCTGTCAGGTGGTCAGAAACCAACAACCAGTAATTGTTTGGTTTGGTTATTTCACACAAATAACTTGTGTCAGAGGATATGAAGCTGGCATGTTTTAAAGCTTCTCTTTTGGTTTCTACCTTCTGTCTGATAAAAAGGGGTTGAGTCGTATTGATGCTGTAATTCAACTTTGTCATTTAAAAGCACGCAGGCGGAAGTGTAATGGTGTGGGGTGATTTAAAGGGAAACTAGGGAAACTTTTAGCACCCCCTAGAGTCTTATTATTCCTTGTTGTGAACTCAAAAGTGAAACAAATCTCCTCGCTGTTCATCTTTTTAACGCCTTAATCAGCTGAAATGTCTCCCCAGCTTTCATTAGTGTCTACGGGAGTGATTCATCACTAAACCAAACAAATCAGCCTCGTTCATGATTTAAACGTGCAGGAAACGTGATGGAAGCAGACTCCAGCGCCGGCCATGTCGGCTACACTTTATTAAGTGCAACAGAGATCGGACCGGCACTCTGAAGCTGCAAGTGCAGTATTCTGGTTAACGAGAGCGGTGGGGGTCTGAGCGACATTTCATTAACCCATTCTAGCAAATACTGGCTCAAGAAACCAATTTAAAAATATGAAAAAGTTGTATAATATGCTTTTAAGAATGTAGAATGTAGTTGCTGAAATGCTCACTTAACCAGCGGTACATTGAGCCTTGCGTTGTACCGGTCTGTCGTGGTGAAGCGAGAGCTGAGTCAGAAGGCGAAGCTCTCAATTTACCGGTTGATCTACGTTCCTACCCTCACCTATGGTCATGAGCTTTGGGTAGTGACTGAAAGAACGAGATCGCGGATACAAGCAGCCGAAATGAGTTTTCTCTGCAGGGTGGCTGGGCTCTCCCTTAGAGATAGGGTGAGAAGCTCGGTCATCTGGGAGGGGCTCGGAGTAGACCCGCTGCTCCTCCACATCGAGAGAAGCCAGTTGAGAAGGCTCGGGGATCTGGTCAGGATGCCTCATGAACAATTCCCTTGTGAGGTTTTTCTGGGCACGTCCAACCGGGAGGAGACCCAAAGGAATACCCAGGACATGCTGGAGGGACTATGTCTCGTGTCTGGACAGGGAACACCTTGGGATTCCCTGGAGGAGCTGGCCCAAGTGGCTGAGGAGAGGAAGGTCTGGGCCTCTCGACTTAGGATGCTGCTCCCACAACCCGACCCCGGATAAGGAGCTGAAAATGGATGGATGGATGCATTGAGCCTGCTTCATATCAGAAAATCTGATTGGCGTCAGGGGGGAAAGAATAAGGCTGCACTTCCCTACTGCAGCTGCACAGGATGGTTGTAAACAAATGTTAGCAACGGTGGAATGTGCTAACACACCGTTGCTTTTACAGCAGAAACAAGTCAGGTTAACTGGTGCACATACTGGGAATAAAGTTTGTTTTTGAACAGAACAGCAACATCCAGCGTGGCCTCCACAATGACGACTGCACATAATTATTTTTAGATGAATCGGAACACAGGTTCTTCCTAAGTCTCCTGACCCAGGACATACAGAATCAATCACAGGAGGATGGAAAGGGAGAAACAATATGTATGCTTGTAAAGGAGAACTAAGGGAGCGCTGTCGAAGTGAGGCGAGAGTCCGCACAGGCTCGTGACGTGGTGATCGATTTAGAGGAGGGACGACTGGAGCTGGAGAGGGAGGTGGTCAGGTCTGAGGAGGGTTCGGGCTCGAGAGAGGTTCTCCAGAGAGTGGGCGAGTGCAGGGTGAGCGGAGGAGAGCGGGTCGGTCTGACTGGGCAGAGAGGACGTGGTCCAGAGATGAGGTCCGTCTGGTTATGGCTGGAGCCCTGGAGACAGGAAGAGGGGTTAGGAACTCGAGAGGCT